GCTGGATTTCTAGGGAACAACAGCATCACACTCTCAAAGGCTGAGCTTCAAGCTGGCATAATTGGCTCCTGTTTTAGAATCCTCCACAACTGAGGCCCTGTCTCGTACATCTGGAGTGTAATGCTACAGCTTCCCTGCCCCCCAGCGCCAGACACAGCGATCAGGCTCCATCCCTGAGCTTCCTGAGGACTGCATCTGGCACAGGGGGCATCACGGGGAGGGACAAACTGCAGCCCAGCTCTTCAGCCAGCGAGTGTGTGTGTGTGCATCTAGACACATCTGCACCTTGCAGGGCCTTGTGTTTGTGAAGCCCTCTTACCAGAAGGCACGTTTCTCTGCTGTGTGCCACTGCTGTGCCTCTGCCAGCTGTGCTCCCTCCTTTCCTTCACATCCTTACGCAGGGTCTTGGCCCAGCCATGTTCGAGGTATCTTGGCACTGTGAGACTGTTTTGTTCTATTTCCATAACACATTCTTCTCCTTTCAGTCTTTGACTGCCACCCCAAATCAGGCCCCTCTAAGGTCAATCAGATCCAGAAGCATCCAGCCTTATAAGGCACAAGAACTACCAATACGTGGTTTTCAATTCTCAAATATCACCAAAACTGTCATTTTGATCAACATTTTGGACTTGCAAGTCTGTGTTTGAGGGAAGATTCTCTGAAGGGGAGACATGCATGGATTTTTTTTTGTTTGGTTGGTTGTTTTTTGTTAGTGTTCCTTAGGGAACTCTTCCCCAGTTCAGAAATGCCCTGCCAGTGTATGGTAACAGCAGCACCCCTTTCAATTCCACAGGGTCAGGAGGGTGTAGCTTCAGCTCTGGCGGCCTGCAAGATTCTTAAAGAGATGTCCCGCCTGGAGACAGAGACTGAAGTAGCACGTACAATGAAAGAGGCCAAGTACGAGCAGCTCGCTGTTGGTAAGTAAAGGCACATCTTTAACAGCATCAAAAATTCAAGAAGTTACTGCCATTGGAAGGCAAGGAAGTGAAAAAAAGTACTGTTTCACTTGTAAAAGGTCAACTGTCATGAATAATTTAACAGCCTTGCAGCACAGGCAGACCCAAACATTCAAATACCACAGAAGGACGACTTGAAAACCAATTCTTTTGGAAAAATCAGTGTTCCAAGACTGGCCCCTGGGATGCATGGAAGAAATTACTCCCCTGCTGCATGCTGGTATTTTAAGTGTCTGATCTTAATACAAGGTGTGTTACAGCGATGGGCAAGACAGAATAACCAAAACACTTCCAGGCTCACAGCAGCCTGCTTTTCCTGCAATATCAAGCTTGCTCTGTAAGGGCCACTAGAGCAACAAGTTTTAAGGTTTGTCTTCACTGCTAAAAATAATTCAAGATTACCTCACCCAGAAGAGAGCTAACTGCACTGCAAAACTGCAGCGAGGCTCAGACTCGTTTCGCAGCAGACAAGCCGCCCCTCCCTACAGCAGTAAGCATTCAGACATCTGCAATGCCCAAATGCCAAACCCTCTCCCTTTGCCTGGTTTAAAAACAGATGGCTGCACACAAGCTTCTCCGCTGATCTGACTTCAGTCTAATCCGTACCTGAAGGTAGCACTGATGGGAAAAGAGGGCTTTAAAGTATACCACACATGGAAACGCCGAGGCTCTTGCTCTCCCCTTAGTGCTAGTACATCAAGCAGCTGAAGGCTCATGCAGACGTTGCTACCTTATTTATACACAGACCCCATTTTCCTCACTTCTGACAGGGCCATTATTATTTACAAAAAATAAAAGTCAGGTTCTCATATAGTCACAGGGCTCAAGTAATTTAGTCATGGAATTACAGGGCTTAATCCAATACACAGAAGTCTGTTCCTTGGCTTTGGTAAGTATTAGATCAGATCCTCAATTTTAATTTCTGGCCCGGATAACACTGCCAATATTAAGTACAGCGAACATTCTTTAAGAATGATAGATACCACATCACCTGCAAAAGAAGTTCTGTATATCAGCTTATTTTAAGTGAACTTGGTCCTTTTCCTAGCCCTCACAGTCTAACAACAAGGTGTAGGCTGGCCTAGGAAAGGTGCTGAGATAATCCAGTGAATCAGCAGAATGAAACAGACACAAGAAGTCAGATCTTGTCTAATGAGAAAACCTCGACCTTTTGGACTGTTTGTTCTAGTTTTGGAGCTCCAGGACCAGCTTCTCTGGAAACAGAACTATGCCACAACACTCTACCAAACCTAATATTAGTTTTATGTCAAATAGCTATGTCTTAAAACAAAGGATTTGTTGGCTACAAGCCAAAGCCGAGCTGCTCCTTTTGTTTAGTCTATTCAGGAGAGTGGGGGTAGTGTAGCAACTCATCCTTCAAAGTGCAAGAAGATCATCTAAGAGATAGTTTTGCTTGATATTACCCTAAAGCTCCACATGAGGCAGCTACAAATGAGGGACTGTAACAAATATTGACATGTTTCCAAGAAGTTTCTTATGCTGTCTGTAGAAGAACTGAGAAAGAAGTTTCTCCTCAGATCAAACAACAATAGGGAAAAAAAAAAACAAAACCCAAACCTGCAGAGGACCCAGGCTCAGATGACACCAAGCTGGGTGGACGTGTGGATCTGCTTGAGGGCAGGGAAGCTCTACAGAGGGATCTAGATAGGCTGGATCGCTGGGCCAGGGCCAATTCCATGAGTTTCAACAAGGTCAAGTGCCAGGCCCTGCCCTCCAGCCACAACCACCCCCAGCAGTGCTGCAGGCTCGGGGAGGAGTGGCTGGAGAGCTGCCAGGCAGAGAGGGACCTGGGGGTGTTGGCTGACATCTGGCTGAACATGAGCCAGCAGTGTGCCCAGGTGGCCAAGGCCAATGGCATCCTGGCCTGTGTCAGCAATGGTATTGTCAGCAGGAGCATGGAGGTGATCGTGCCCCTG